GTTTATGCTGCTGGACTCCCATGTAGTCGACCACAGTTCAAGTCCCAGGCCCAGTGGCTTTTGTCTCTCTCTCTCTCTCTCTCCAGCGGGCACACGCACCCCACAGCAAAAATCTCTTTAAGAAAAAAAAAAAAAAAAGTGATGATGATAAGTGGCCTCCTTGGGTCCGGTGCATGTAGTCAGTCACCAGAGACTTGAACTGCAGCTGGCCATGTGAGAGTCTAGCACCTTAACCATTATAACACCTGCCAGCCCCCAGTGTGGAGGTTTTAAGGCAGCTGAATCTCACATGGCCCACACATAGTTCGAGTCCTGTACTCAAAAAAGCACTCCAGGCACTATGTGTAAGTACCCAAAATCCCAAGAGGAGAATGGAGGAGAGGGGATTGTGGCATGGCCACCCCCTGCTGAGGGGGGTGCTTTCTTACCACCCTTGTCGCTTCTCTGTCTCCAGCAAGTGCACAAGCCCTGCAGGAAAAAAAAAAAAAAAAGTAGTCTCGGGCCAGCAGATGGCATGGTAGTTAAGGTGCTGGATTCCCGCGGCACTGGTATGGCCGACTATAGTTCAAGTCCCGGACCTGGCGGCTTACTGTCTCGCTTTCTCTCTCTCTCTGTCTCTTCCTGGCCAAATTTTAAAAATAATAATAATGATAATAACATTAAATAATTTTTTAAAAGTGGACTTCCTTTACTGCCTTGCATGCTCACTTGCCCTTCCTCCAAAGACGCAGACCCTTACCAGATGTGGCCCTTTAATGTTGGGCTTCTCAGCCTCCAAATCTGGGAGAAATAAATTTCTGTATAAATTACCCTGTCTGTTCTCTTGTTATAGCAGCAGAAAATGGACTGAGACAATTAGCAGTCTGACAGTATTCAAGAGAAGCTGTGTCAGTCCATATTCAAAGAATGCCTCCACTCCTGAACACAAACCTCTGAGAAAATCCTCGAATACCCAGAGGGGATCACTGCAATATTGCTTGCAATAGCGACATCCGAAGGTCAGAACGGGGTGGGTTGTAAGTGACAGATCCTAAAATAAGTGATTTAAGCAGTACCTGAGTTCCTTTTTCATATAAAAGGTCAGTGCTGTGGGGCTAGTAGGTACCACAGGGAGGCTAAGACCCAGGCTCCTTCCCGCCTTGTCTGCCCTGCATGGCTGCTACTCCAGGTCACCTCGTGTCTGTAGGATTGTGCTGCTTCCAGTCGATAGGCAGGGAGCAAACGAAGAAGAGGAGTACCTGCTGCCCGCTGTGGACGCTTTGTGGAAGGAGCACTCTTCTCCCACGTACACCCCAAATGAAGGCACTTGGCCACATCTAGCTACACAAAGGCTAGGAAGTACTGCTCATCTGAATGTCTCTGTGCTTCATTAGAAAACCACGAGTTCAGGGCCAGTCCTGGAGCACAGTGGTTAGGGAGCTGGATCCCACACGACTGATCGTGGTTTGAATCCCATTTGAAACACATGCTGGTGCATGCACATGGATGCCTAAAATCTTGATGGGATGGAGAAATGGAGGAAAAAGAATTGTGTATGACAATGTCCTGTCAGGGGATGCTTCCTCCCTGTTTCTTTCTCTGGCAAGTGTGCATGCCCTCTGGCAATTAAAAGAAAACAAAACCCATGGGTTTCTCTTGCGCTGCAAGGAGGAAGAATGGATGTGAGAGAATAAATAAGGTCTTTATCACAAAGCTCTTAAGTGGGGGTTGTGTGGGGGCCACAAAGACAGAAATCCTCACATAAACACAAGATGAATGTATTCTCGTTTATTCTGTTGAGACTGAATATATCATTTTAATGTGTTCAAACTTATTAATTAATGGACATAAAGACCTGAAAAAAATTGAGTGCTATGTAACATATCACAGATTATTTAATACAAAATTCAAAGGAACGCCACATTCTAACAACTTTTTAAAGAAGGTGAGATACTTTTGCTAAAATCATACCACATATCAGTGGAAGACTAATGGCTTTTTTAGTAGACAGTAAAGAGTAAACTGGCTCATTATGTGGTAAAAGACGTATCTTGGAGCTCACATACAAAGGTGCATTTTGAATAGTAAAAGAGATGTTCAATATTTAACAACCAGGAGTCAATGTTGTGTTTACTTTAATTAAAGTTGCTTCAAACAAACAAAAAAAATACTTAACAAAAATACAGCCGGGCATCAACCAGTGCTTAGCTCTCAGAACAGATGCCAGCCAAGATACCACCCCAGCGGTACTAGCCGGGCCTTAGCCTTATTTAATGGCTTCAGTACGAAAGGAAAAAATAATGAACTAGCAAAGAAAATGTAAACTATTGTAACTAGCTTTAAGTAAAAAATCTAAAAGCAACTAACTTATGACAAAATAGTTCATTCATCAACATTAAGAATCTCTATCCAGTGAGATACCGCTAGATACACAAAGTGCTATTCTGAGAGTCATTTGCAATTGCCCAAGAATGTACGAGGCAACTCCTGAAGATAAAAAGAAAAAGAGAAAAAGAAAAAATAGGAAGCCCCCCGTGAGAAAATGAGCAAGTCACAAAAAAAGAAGCCAGAAAGGCTGATAGGTATGTGGAAAAAACTCCCAAAATTAATGGTGATTGAGTGAATGTGCATTTAAACACAGTGCTACTTTATACCCACTGGACTGGCAAACCCTAGAAAACTGGGCTATACCATGTGCTGGTGAGGATGAGGAGAAACGGGAAGCCTTAAGAGGAGGGTCAGTCCTTTTTCTAAAAATAATACATGGAAACCCACAGAGAAATTAACCTGTGTGACCTGTAATCGCATCCTGGCTACATATGCTAGAGAACTCACACAGGCCCAGAAAAGGACACATCAAAGGATGTTGATCGTAACCTTGCATACGAGAGGTTGGAGACAACAGGGTTCCACAACCTCTGGCGTGGGCATGTAAAATATAACTGACACTACTGTGGAGAACCACGGAAGTCAGTGACAAAGATCTAGAATATGCAACAGAGATGGACCTAATGTATACTGAGCGATCTATTGCACAATGCCACTTGCGTACAGTAAAAGTATATCCACACATAAAACATTGTATTTTTACAAGATACATTCATATTCAGACATGTAGTAAACATATTAGATTGGGTATCTGTGGAAGAGATGGCATGACTGGGAGGAAATACATAACCAGAGAATCCTTGCATGGGGTCTATGTTCTGAGATCTAAAACAAAACGGCTGAAAGTGCTCAGTTATGCCTTAAATGTTTGAATCAGGAAGTGTGTACCAGAAAGCGTAGCTATAAAGGGTCCTTAGGGTGAGGAAGATGCCCAGGGCTAAGAATCCACTTTATTCTTTATCCTTCTAAAAAGTCTCCAGGGGTGGCTTCATTATGAAAGGAAACATTGTGTACAGTTGGCTGTCTATGCTAAAGCTAATGTGTACGTGAGCTTGATTTATTTCCTCACAAGCCAAGGAACCACACCAGTGTATATGCCCCAACTCCCGACCCCCACACGAGACTAAGGCAAACTTTTAGGACTGCTGGTCCTAAAAGTGATATAAACCCCAGGCTTGGAAGCCCATACCCAACCATCATGTATTTCGACTCACTCTAAATACAAGCCAAGTTACAATACTAATAAAACAAACTTTTCAGTGAAGGGAATGGTGATGCTGGAAGTGAAGTGTAGGAGGCGGGCAGATCTCTTCTCCATGTTGTAGGGACCACAAAGAGCATAACCTGTGGCCACCTAGGGCAGCAATAACTACAATACAACTAACCAAGTATCAACAGTTAACGGCTTGAAACCAGGGTCATGAGATCGAAGGTCACTCCTTGATTTTGCTTCAGAATAAAGGTAAGTTCAAACTTCTATTTCAACTGGTGGTCCTTATGAGGCCAAGAAAAAAAAAAAAAAAAAACGGTGGGGGAAGACATTCTCCCCAAGACCAGGCCTCTCAACAGAGAATGGGATTTCAGCCCCAGACCTCAATGAGGTCTCCAGATTCCATGCCCAGATCGGCTGGCAGCTCCTTGCCTGAAAGCTTTGTCCCATCAAAGAAGAAGGAGAGCTTGTGTCCTGAGAGTCCCATGGCCTCCTCATAGCGGGACATGAGGGTCTTGAGAGGAGAATCCTGGATGGAGAGGACAAAAAGATAAGAATTTGAAAGGGGAAGTGGGGAGATTCTGTAGGGACAGATAGAGTGGCTGTTGGAGCAGCTGCAAGCCAAGGAGTACCAAGGTTGCCAGCTCCCACCACGAGCTGGGAAGAGAGAGACAAAAGAAGATCCTACTCAGTCTCGGTGGGTTCATGGCTCTGCTGATACCTTGATGTCAGACTCCTAGCCTCCAAAACTGTGAGGGAATAAATCTATGTTGTTTTGCTGTTGTTGTTTAGGTTTTGCTGTAGGGTGTATGCACTCATCAGAGAGAGAAAGTGAGATATCCCCAGTGGGGATAACCATACCACGGTCCCTTCTCCTCCACTCTCCTCTCAGGATTTTGGGCTTGCAAGTACACGTGCCCAGCAAGATTTCAGTCCAGAACCTGAACCATGGTTGGCCATGTGGGAGTCCAGCGCCTTAACCACCATGCAAACTGCTGGCCCCTTCTTCTTTTTATTTAACAGAGGATATGTGCACTCACCAGAGAAAGAGAGAGAGGGAAAGTGAGAAAGCAGCCCCCTCCAGGAGGAATGGTCACACCAGTCTTTTCTCTTCCATTCTCCTCTCAGGATTTTGGGCATGCACTCACATGCACGTGTCATGACCAGGTCCAGGACTCAAACCGCAGTCATGTGGGATCCAGCCACCTTAACTACCATACTACCATATCACCAGCTAGCCCAATCTGTTTTTTTTTTTTTTTTTTGCCCAGTTTTTTTTTTTTAAAGAATTCTTTATTTATCTATTTCCTTTTGTTATTATTATTACTGTTACCACTTAATTTGACCAGAGGGAAAGAAAGGGAGAAAGCAAGCCACCAGGTCCTGGACTCAAACCACAGTCAGCCATGTAGGAATCCAGCACCATTAACCAAGTCACCTGCTGGTCCCCAAATCGTTCTGTTAAGCTACTCAGTTTGTGGTGCTTTGTTACAACCACCATAATACAGAAGTGAGGTAATAAAAGCCTAAAATGTGGGAGTGGCTTTGGAATTGGGAGAGGCTAGAAGAACTTTGAAATATACACTAGAAAAAGCCTTGACTGCCTTGAAGAGACTGTTGGTAGCAATATGGACATCAAAGGCAATCCTGGGACTGGATCATAGTCTACTGGGTAAGGGAGCTGGATCCCACATTGCTGACTGCAGTTCAAATCCTGGCCCCACAGCCTGAAAAACATGCAAGGCATGTGCACTTGTGCACACTAAATCCTGAAGAGATGGAAAAAACGGGAGGAAGGATTACCGCATGACCACATCCCATCGAAGGATGCTGTCGTTCTCCTTGTCTCTTCTGAGTGCATGCACCCTTTGGAAATTTAAAAGAAAAACAAAGACCTGGGGCCAATAAGTGACATGGTGGCTAAGGTGCTTGACTCCCACATGGTCAACCGCAGTTCAAGCCCTGGACCCAGTGGCTTGAAACTCATGCCAAGTGCATGTGTGTGCATACCCAAAAATCCCCAAGAGGAGAATGAAGGAGAAGGGATTGCAGCATGGCCAAATCCCTGGGGTGGTGATTTCTCACTTTCCCTCTCTGTCTGTCTCCAGTGAGTGCATGTACCCTATGGAAAACAAACAAACAAACAAAATACAACCAAATAAAGGCCTATCTAATGCATTCGTGCAAAAAAAAGAAAGGGGAACCAGCAGTTAGCGTAATGGCTATGTCGCTGGACTACCACGTAGTCGACCGCAGTTCGCGTCCTGGACCCGGTGGCTTAAAACTCACGCCGGGCGCATGTGCGTGTGTGCCCAAGATCCCGAGAGGAGAATGGAGGAGAAGGGATTACGGCGTGACCACCCCCCCGGGGGGTGATTTCTCGCTTTCTGTCTCTATGTCTCTCTCTGTCTGTC